TTGTTTCTCAGAAACAGGTCATTTTCCCACTTACAGGCAAAACTCAGGGTTTTTGTTTACCAGAATGAAAAGAGGCTGTAATCTAGCTCTGAATTAGGGCAGTTAATATCTGCGTGAATTTATAACTGCACATACCCACACGACAACAAGAAGTTAGCAGTCTCTCTTATTCTCTGAATGGCTTCTAGCAACGAACCCAGCAGGAAGAAAGAAAACATGCAATTAGCTGCTATAAGGCACAATTGTCTCATTCACCACAGGCCAGTTCACACCTACTAACTGCTCTCCTTGAAGGTGAGCTATATCGAGCACCAGAAGGGAAAAAGTGGCCGAGGTGTGACGTATTTGTGTATGAGGCCATTGAAATGCATCCCCTGGATGTGGCAATGTTCACAGCTTAGCCTGGAGCACCCACCTCAGTTACAGATAAGTAGTCCTTTGAGAAGCAGTTTGGGACGAAGCAGAAGGAAGGCAAACAAGAATGCATATGCCCGTGGTTGTGTGTAAGAGTCTACATGTAAAACACTCGTGTATCTTTACAAATGGAAGTAGATGTAATCTTAAAGGATGGGAAGTGATCTGAAAGGTCAAAGCCCAGGAACCCAGCTCCTCTCCTTCCAGGAGGAAAGCTCCCCGGCTATGAACCATATGCTGTCTTCCGCAGATCTTTTCAGTAAAGCACATAAATGCCACTCTTCCTACAAGGAGAATGGCCCCATTGTGCACACCCCAGGCAAAGTAGAGACAAATCAGAGCATTCCTAACAGGGTGCAGAGCAGAGGCCTTCCAACTGCTTACAGCACTGCTGTGCTCCAGCTTCTTTGGGCCAGGAACATTTCAGTTATCATAGAGTTACAGATCTTTATGTTGGAAAAGACCACTACGATCATGTAGTCCAGTCATCAACACATAGCCACTAACCATGCACTTCAGTGCCCCATCTATATAGTTCTTGAGCACCTCCAGGGACAGTGACACCACCGCCACCACCTCCCTGGGCAGCCTGGGCCAGTACATCACCAGTCTTTCTGAGAAGAAATAATCTCCAGCCTGAACCTCAGTTGGTGTAACTTAAGGCCATTACCTATCATTCTATCTGATCCCCACCTTGCTACAACCTCTTCTCCCTCAAAGGAAATCATCCCCAACCTGTTCCTCCCCGCCAATCCCTGCTGCCTCACCAGTCACCAAACATTCCCAGCACACTTCCCATGTTTCAGTGCCAAGAAGATACTTTCTCTACATCTCATGACAAAGCACCTCAGTAACTCTTTATAAGACAAATGGTTCTACAAATGGGAGACCACAGAACCTGATCTCTTGTGGGTCTTTGTTCTCCCTACAGCATACCCAGAGCCCACTAACATCCTGCTACAGAGGTAACTAGGCCAGGCTTGGTGCTCTCCCACCACACAATAGCCAACATGATGTGACTGCATGCACCTCACTTACCTGAGCCTCTTTAGTTCCTAATCCAGACCATCTTCTGTGGAATCCTCAGTGTTTATCACAGGGTGTTTTGCTGCCATTCTTGGTCTCTCAGCGTTGTTGCAGTGTAATACAAAACAACAACTCCATCTTGTGCCACCAGTTCTTTTCTAGACTATCCATTCAGAAGACTGCCTATATTCCCTTCAAAACCATAGCTATTGTTTTTTGGCATCCCACCTAAGTGTGCCGTATTCAGCTAAAACCAAAGTTCCAAATTGTAGCATTCCTTATTCTGGAATTCTTATTTATTTCAATTAACAAATAGCAAGAAAATGTGCCCTTATTAAATATATATATAAGTATATATATATATATAAATAAAACAGGAGCATACTTATGCTTAATTGTTATTCTAATTACAAGTTCTGGTGCAGTGTAAATTTTTTCCCTTGGCATTATTATGAACCTCATTTCCTTACAAAGTCCAGGATAAACAATTCCAATATATTTTGTTTTAATTATCAGGGTTTAATGGGGCATAATGAGACTATGTTGAGTGGCGCAGAAAAAAATAATAATTTAATGTGTGCAAAACTACTGAGTGCTCCTAGCTTGACTGTGCATATTTCACGAATTGTGGTGCAGCACTGTGTTTACTAATATTCAGTATTACTTACTAAGTTTATCTGATTTTCAAAGGAAAAATATTCTTTTTTTCCTGGCATCTAAAACAATAAAGTAGCTAAAAAAATAAATAAAAGGATAATTCTCTGAGTTGTGCAGTGAAAGATGCAGATGATACACAGCTGATGGTTCTAGAACCATCCATCGTGCTACAGACAGAAAACTGGAGTACGCTGCATGCAGAAGCTGCCTCCACCAGTCTGTTCCAAAGGCAGTCCTTCTCCCAATGTTAGTTGACAATGAAAAATGCTGGCTTCAGTTCTCAGCATCCCTACTAAAACAAGCATAGACAACATCAGCTGAAGTCACCTCTCCTCTCTGGACTCTCACTAAACAAGGTGCAGTTCCTATGGACTTAAAATGCCAGATATTTGTGTGATGAAAGGAAGATAATGCAAAAAGATAAAGCAAGCCAGGCAATAAACCAGTAAAGTGATGTTATGACCCTTTTCTCCTTCCAAGCTCCTTTTGCAGCTCGCTCTGAATCCAATGGCTGCGACTGGCTAATGCAGCAGTTAGCACCACCCTGCCACCACACTTTCACTCCATCTTACCATGCTGACTATAAACTTCCTTTATTTTTACTCAGAAATCTTACCTGGGAGGATTTGGGACATTTGTATAGGAATTCTGAACACATGGAGGTATGATTAGCACAGCAATCAGGGGTTGTTCTGTAGAAAGGATAAACACATTCGTTCTGTCACATTGGGCACATACTGCAGTTCTGAAACTTGAAGATGTGCTGGAGTACCTGTACTGAACAGCTCATACACACACAGTTCTCCCTGTGGTCTGCTGGATGGAAATACAGGAACCTCATCACAACCTGTTTCCCCCAGTTGGAGGAATAGAGCCTCAGCATCTACTCTGCTTGTCCATTATATTCATTCACGAAGTCAGAGGCTTTGATTCATTGTCCATTGAAACTACTGTGAACATCCCCTCTTTTGGCAAAGTATTTGAATCACGACTTTGGGAAGGTAGCTCAAATATAGCACAGAAAGAAAACAGAAATGTTACATTTACATACATTTATTTCAAAAGTCATGTTTTTATTACAGATTAAGTTAATATACTTGAAGTGTTTGAGTTTTAAATAAAATACATTTCTTAATTACAGACACTGGTATTTACAGAAAAAAATGTACATAAATCTTTTTTTAATTTTTTTTTTTTTTTTTATAAATCTCATTGGAATAAAAATTCAAAAGTCTTCATGATGTTTCTACCGATGGGAGATGTCAAGTTTTGTGATGAGTCAGCCTCCTTCAAGGATTAACAGAGACAAGAAACCTAAATGGGCTGAAGTTACAGCTCAGCAAGTTGATCAAGGAACTGCAATGGTATGGCTGCCCACATTAAGTTGTAGCAAGACTTGAAGACCTCAGGGGTCTCCCTCCTAGTGGACGTCCCCTCTTCTGGATTGAGAATGAATGAAAGGGAACCATCAAGTACCTTCCATCAAACCAGCCTTAGCTACAAGATCAGGGCAGCACCCAGCATGTTCTAACAGACCTCCAAAGTTTGGACTTTTTTTTCCTTTCTGTCTAAATTATGGGAGCTGCAACCCAAGCTTATTGTACAGTCACTGTACAATCGGCTGACCCTTCATCATAGAGGTGCAAGCGCTGAGCCAGAAGCCAAGTTTGCTGATGCCCAGATATGTATTGTCCTGTGTCCATCAGATTGCCTAGTAAGTCCCAGAGGGACTTATAAGGTGGTCTCTGTATTTGGCACAGCAGACAGAACAGGGGAAGAAGTGCATTACCATCTGCAGTTTATGTATTACTCAGAAGAGATCTCTGAGGTCAGCTCTGGGCAAACACTTAGCCTCAAATTTCTGCTTAGGAATTTACATCCCCATTGAATCATGTGCATTCAAAGCTGAATGAGGTAGTATTACCTTAGACCAGCATCCCCATGCTGGATTAAGGCAGGATCCTAGGGTACAACAAGCACGACATTGCTAGCTGGTTGAGGGGAGTGATTGCCCTGCTCTACACTGCACTGATGCAGCTTCACCTTGAGTACTGCTTGCAGTTTTAACTATCACTGTACAAAAAGACCACAGAACTATTGAAGAGTGTCCAAAGAAGGATTACAAAGATGATGAAGGGTCTAGAGGGAAAGACATTTGAAGAACAGCTTAAATCCCTCAATTTGTTCAGCCAAGAGGAGAGGATAATAAGAGGAGACGTTATTGTAGCCTACAGCTTCCTCATGAGGGTGTGCTGAGGGGCAGTGCTGAGCTCCCCTCTCAGTGACAGGACCCATTGGAAGGCATAAAGCTGTGACAGGTGATGGTCAGGCTGGATATCAAGGTTCTTTACCAAGAGGGTGGTCGGGCTCTGGAACAGGATCCTCAAGAAAGTGGTTGTGGCACTGAGGGTTCACGAAATGTCCAGACAATGCTCTCAGATATAAGGTCTGATTTTTGGTTGGTCTTGTGTGGAGCCACAGTTTGGACTCGATGATCATAATGGGTCCCTTCCATATCCTATAGGATAGCATGCCTGTTACTCCTTCGGATATTCAGAGCTTTAACATATGAAACAGGACCTTCGTTTGAGTGCACACTTAATGTGTTTGGGATCTTTTACATAACAAAATTCCTGTTCCTGATGGTTTACACTCTGGTTTACAGGCACAGAGCCTTCCATAGGGGTAACATTACAAACCCACGGCTCTTCGAACACCTGCCTTAAACTCCTTTCCACACACCCATGGTGAGAGGATTTCAAACACAGGTGAGTTTCTGGTTCACCTGACCCATAATCTGAAATACCATTTATCTTTGGTATTTTCAATGGCAAACAGGAAACTGAATCCAAGCATACGCCAAATGTGTACAAAAAAGAAAGTCCTGTTAATGACAACCACACCTTGTTGCCACCATGTCTCTGTAATTTTTAAGAACCACATTCTCTTTGTCATCAAAGTAGAGGAGATTGAGGGACTTCAGTTCATCTGGAACACAGCAGGGTGTGCTGATATCCTGAGACAGTTTAAGTGTATGGACTATGGACTGAACCGTGGCATGGTTTGTTGCATTTTGACTTTCCCCCAAGGGGAAAAGACAGGACCCTCTGCAGTAAAATGCATTGTATCCACTTGGGTAAATAATCCATCCTGACCAACCAATGGCATGGAAGTCAACATAGAGTTCTCTTCGATGACATGCTGCTACCTGGCTTTTGGAAGAAGGTGCTGCGGCAGCCCGAGGTCTCCTGCTCTTGCTTTCTTTGCTGTTTTTGATTATCAGAGTTTCACGAGGCACACGTAACAAAGCATCATTTTTGGCAGGGTTCAGCTCTGGTTCAGGAAGGAAGCTGCGTGTTAATCTTTCTCAAAGTCATTTTTCCTTAAGTACAATAAGCTTCAATAAAATCTGTTTCGAAAATGTACATCAAAAACTTCAAAGAACATTTTAAAATGACAGGAACTATGAAAGCACTGAGAGGGGCATGTACTCAATTGTCATTTCAGCTACTTTTCAAAATCTGCCAGGTCTGTGTTTCCCTATGTGGAAACACAGTTTAGCAGAAACATAAAAGCTTTACATTCTGCAAACTCGAGGGGCCCTTTTCAAGGATAACTATGGTCAGACTGGTTTTAATGACCTTTGTATTGCTACTCCTACATCAGACCTGCTGTGAAGTGCTAACAAAGGGTGGAGACCACAGCCTTTTCTTCTCTCCAGTATTCTCCTCAGCAACTCTACCCATATGCTTGAAAATAGAGTGCTTTCCAGAAAAGTAGTCATTTTGAAAAAAATAAAAATAAAAAATTAAGTTTTGGATGTGAAAATATTATGACTAGGTTTAAGGAAGTCAGCTTGAGAATGAAGCTCACTGACAATCCCTTTACTTTCTCAGTGTACATTCTAAGAACTCATGATAAATAGGAATTAGTTCCCCAATTCTGGCACAGCATCACATACAAAGGTTGATATTGATTAAATTGGGATGTAGGATTTCACTACAGTAATTTTCTGTTTATAACAAAAAAATGAACAGGCCGGTTTCTGGTTGTTTTTTTAAACTGTTTGGTTTTGATTTGTATCAGTTTTATCACCTCGTTCTTAATTATTCTAACGTACAAATGCAATGATTTACCAAAAAGGCCCTCCAAGCCCAAACCATTATCTCTCCTCCTCCTTCCAGCTTTTACTCTTTGCATTTATCTCAGGCTCTAAAATCCAGCCTTAGCTGATTTTACTGGAGGACCCGTGGGAGAGGTAAGGCAGTATTGTTTTGTAATTTAAGGGATAAAGGCGTTGTCTTTGATGAAAAAGCCATTAGTAACAATGCTAATTAGTCACTGAAGTTAAATAGGTGTTTAAAAAACAAGCAAAGGAAAGAGAAGTTAGAACTGCTTATCTAACAACTTCTTCCACTCTTGAAAACTGCACTTCATAACTACTTCCATTTGCTTTACCAGCACTTTCACAGTTTTCCAGGTCACTGAGTTTTTTCAGCCTAAGGTGAAAATTACAATTTCCATGCAAACATCACCACAAAGACAAAGTAAATAATGATAATTTTTAAAAAGAAAGAAAACTCCTGTCTCTCTTACAATGAAAATAAATGAAGCTTCCCTTAGGCTTCATGAATATTTTCTGCAAACACAACTTCCTTGAGTAGAGGTGGCTGTAGATGCTGGGTGAGCTACAGCCAAGAGCTATCAAGAAAACTCTGGTCAGTGATGAAGCAGAACTGCACCAGGCTCAACACTGCACATAAATACTGGGATAAGGCACATGGGAGGCAGCAGAAGGGAACAGAATTTTTCATGTTCTAAAATAGAGTTACTGTTGTGTGAACTTACTTGTAGAAGAGGGTACAAAGCTGGAAGACCTCCGTTTATTACTGTTGGTGAAGAGGACAAGGAGAGCATTTCTGCTCTCCTGCAAATTGCCCTGTCCCTTTGCAAATGCAACCAGGTTGTGTTCAATCCTATTGCTGAGTAAGTGTGTTGCAGTTATCAAAAAGCCATGGTTGGAGTTACTGCTTCCGACCCACTTGGAAACCTGGTAATGAAAATGAAACAAGAAAATATTGTTTCAATAATCTTTCCACTGCATTGTGATTAAGAATAATTTACATGAGGAAAACTGAACAGGCAACCAATATAGGACTATAAATACATATACAATCACAGAAGTGAGGTAACTGTAAAGACTGAATTGAGTTAAATATTTAAACCAATAATTCAACATTTTAAAATATCATATACGTTCCCCAAAGTTACATTTACACAAAGATAATTAATTTTTGGAGAATTTACTAGTGAATAATGAGCCTAAGAGTTAACATTAGCAATAAAATAAATCATCCTTGACTTTAGACAGAACCTTATTTTTCCTAGTAATCTTAATAACGGAATAATAAAAACTCTCCAGACTTTCCATACCATTAAAACTCATTTAAATCTAACGCAAATGTGGCATTTGAAGAAATTAGCTTATTTGAAGAAATCAGGCAAATTTACTTTCTCTAATTGTTCTAATTACAGTCTACTAAATAAGGTCAGGCCATTCTCAAGGAAGGCTATTATGGCACACGATGCAACTCAACCAATCATCCAAGCATATTGTTCAATCTGATCATAAAGCTCAGGCAACTAAAAACACTGCCAGAGCAGATTTAAGCCTCAGAAAGTGTTTGAAACCTCATTTGTATTTTTTGCTAAGGGAAGGCATTCTGATACTGATATAATTGAAGGATATCTACAAAACAAATCTTCCAACTAGCAAATAGAGAATTCTACATACAAAGTTAAGATGAAAAACATTCGAACCATTACAAATTCCAGAAATGCAACGTTGAAGTACACTGCAGATCTCATCTACAAAAAAAAATGGACTAGAGTAAAGAAGAATTAAAACCTACTCATACCCCATAATCAATGATTTCTTTTTTGGCAATCTAAGGACAAGTGTGCTTTAATCACACTGCCATATTTGGCCTGACATCCCTCCTGCTGTCTGGGTTTGGGTTATTTAGTTCTTATCAGAGAAGTAGGAACGCGTACTTTTGAGTGTAATGAGCAGGGTTCTCCCCCTGCTCTGTCCTTCAGTTTGAATCGATCACGGAACCTAGCAGTAAGAGCAAGTTATCAGCTGAGCACTGCCATAACAGAAATTTTAGAACTAAAAATGTAAGCCAAGAGTTCCCTGCTTACCGTCTGTGTGACGTTGAATACTTCCCAGCCTTCCGAGTACAGAGACAACAATCTTGATGCAATGAGATTTTTTTTCAGTGGATTACTTCCACCCTCCAGGAGCTCATACACTTCCACCTTAAGGAGAGCAACACAACAGAACAGTGAGAAATGGAAGAGCCATTGCTCTTCCAGCAAAATGGGGAGGATCAAGTTCTTCCACATCTTAAATGGAACACTGCTCCAACTGATGCTAAAAGCTGTTTACAGCTTGTTCAACAGCAAAATGACTATCAGCAGATGTGTGAGAGAAGTTCATTGCAAGGGAGCTTGACTAGATGACCTTTAAGGGTCCTTTCCAACTCAAAAAATTCTATGATCCTATGAGTTCAAAGGGAGGACTATGCTATTCCTGAGCATCTCTTTCAAATCTTTGATACTACCAGAGTCTAGTACACTGTATCTTTGCCCTCGAGTTTGCAAAACGTTCAACCCTGCCTTTGCTACAAGATACAGTCAGTGCCAGGGAATGATTCCCATACTGCCATCATTACTTCAAGAGTGAATCAAACAGGCAAATTTGCATCTGAATTTCAAAACATCTCAAAAAGCAGAGAAGTCCGGTGTGGGCTTGAAGGGAAGGGTACCTCCAGAGATAGCATCCAACCAGCCAGAGCCCTGCATCCCTTCTCTGCTCGCTGGAGGCAAAGTGCCACTGCGCCGAGGACGATAATGAAATAAAAGTAAAGCAGGTTTACGTACTAAGTGGTTGCACTCTCTACTCCTCTCTCATTTTCCCTCCGGATTATTAGCGATACCACAAGGAAGCACGTAACTGACGGTTCATTTCCCACTTACCTTGCAGAAGTGCTGCGGATCGGCTCTCCTGGCCACGCGCCTCCTCCTCAGCTTGAACACCCTCAGCTCGGCCTTCAGCACCTGCTCACCCCTCTCCATGGCGCTGACGTCGAAAAAGAAGCGGTCCCGCTCCACGGGAGCTGCGGGAGAGCGGCCTTTAGCCGCCGCTGCCCACGCCGCCCCGCCGCAGCGCTGCCCCCCGCCGCCCCCGGCTCACCTCGGTCCTCGAAGCTGCGCACCACGTCTCCCTCCAGCAGCCCAGGCGCGCGGGTGATGCCGTTGGCGTCGGCCACCTTGTTAAAGAGATCCACCATGAACTGCGGCGGCTTTTTGCGGGGCAGCACGTCGGGGGGCAGCTCCTCGATGTCGAACACCTCCCGAAGCCGCTGCAGCGCCGCCGCCTGCACCTCGTCCCGCGGCCCGGCGGTGAGGGGGGAGGCTCCGAGTTGCGCCAGCCCCAGCAGCCAGGCCAGCCCCATCCACGGCCACAGCCGCCCGCTCGCCATGGCCGGAGCGCCGACGCCCAGCCCTCGCTCGGCGCCCGGCCTCGCGGCTCTGCGCGGTGCTCAGCTCCGACGGCCGCCGTGCCCCGGGGCTGTGTCACCCCGCCTCACCCGGGCCATTAAAGCCCCGTCAAAACTCAATGGGGCTCGCAAACATCTGAGCTCTGCGGGGAGCGCAGCCTCTCCCCCTCCCCGCTCGGCCCGGGCTGCCACCCGCTCTTAAAAATAAAGGTGAGCCTCTGTATCTTGCAGTTCTCCACCCACAGCCCTCGGTACGACGGAGGGTTCAGCAGAGCTGCAGAAACGAGTGTGCTGGCCTGAGCACTACGCTGGTTGGGGACGCGAGTTCTGCTCTCACAGTGCAGCGGGAGGAGTTGCACTCAGTGATTCTTATGAGTCTCTTCCAACTCGGGATATTCTATGATTCTCAAAGCAGCTAAGCTTCAGCGTAATTAGGCATGGAAGGTAACATGCATAATAATACCCAAGCTAAACTCAGCTTTCAATAATTTTTTCTCCACCCCCCAGCATAAACCAGCCAGCCATGAAATCTTGAGGCATCGTACCCACTAGCCCTTTTCAAGGCAGTCTGTCGATTTAAAGGAGCAATTTTATATTGCCAAGGGTTTACACTGCCTCTCCAGCCAAAGAAGGAAAGCAGGTTATGGGGTAGATTGACATGTCCCATCTGCTTAGGCACACTATCTAGGGTAAGAATACTGGCCTATGGGCTGTAGGAGGAAGAGGTGGTGACAGAGGCTGTAGCAGTGTTAATTACACTTTTCAGCCACTCCTAAATTAGTCTTTTAAAGGAAAAAAATAGAACAGGGATCATTCAAGCAGCTCTGCTACACTCACCTTTTGCTGATCTCAGCTGAAATATAGGATCATAGAATCATTAAAGCTGGAAAAGACCTCTAAGATGATCTACTCCAACTGTCCACCTACCACCAATATACCACCAATACTCTCCATTAAACCTTGTCCCTCAATACCACGTCTACATGTTTCTTGAACACCTCCAGGGATGGTGACTCCACCACCTCCCTGGGCAACACATTCCAGTGCCCAACCACTCTTTTGGAGAAGTTTTTCCCAGTATCCAACCTGCACCTCCCCTGGCACATCTTGAGACAATTACCTTTCATCCTATTGCTGCAACCTGAGAGTAGAGGCTGACTCCCACCTCACCACAACCTCTTTTCAGGCAGTTGTGGAGAGCAAGAATGTCTCCCCTAAGCTTCCTCTTCTTTGAACTGAAGAATCCCAGTTTCCTCAGCCACACCCTGTAAGATCTGTGCTCCAGATCCTTCACAGCTTTGTTGCCCTTCTCTGGACATGTTCCAGGGCCCTAAGTCTCTTAGCAGTGTGGCTCTTCAGTTTCAGACTCTCTCCTACTATCACTCCTTCCAGCTTTCAGCTGTTGCTGTAACCAAATGTTTGGAGGAAAAAAACAAAAACAAAAAAAACAGTTGTTATTGCTATTTTGTTGATCCAGCCCACCACATGAGGTGCAGGGAACTGGTGTAGGAAAAGGGGAAACAGCAATGGGTTAATCAGACCAGTTTAAAGAGCACTGTGGGTGCACCTAAAGCTGCAGCCAACTTCAATCCTCAAAATTCTGTAGTTGTCTTCAAAGAGCTGTAGATATCTCGGCTTGTGGCTAGCAGCATGGTTGGTGGTAGAATGAATACTCATTGCAACTCCCTGCCTGAGAGCATGGAAAAAGACTTGTAAGACATGAGAAATTGTCACAGGACTGTTTTTCAGTCATCCTAAAAGCTCAGTTTCCACTCTACCGCTTCTTTACATGCTCATCCTCACAAACCTTACCCTGCCCTTGGGCCTCTTCATTTACTCCTAGTATCCTCCCTAGGCATATACCTCCATTTCTGCTCCCCTGGTGCTGCTTCCAGACATTAATGCCTGGAAATGCATAGCTAGGGTTCCCAAACAACCTTAACTCTGCCCTAGAGGCAAAGATTTATGAAAAAATCCTCTCTGTTTAATATAAGCTGGGACCACAAACAATGAAATGCCTCAATCACAGTAGTGCAACTGCAGAAATTCTAGCCTACTGTTAGCCAAACATAACCCACTGAGTGCTGTGTTCTTTTATTTTCATATTTCTGATTAGGCAAACAACATAATGAAAGCCTCACTCCTTATTCTTTCGTAAGAATGTATGACTCACCACTTATGTAAGCCTTATACAGGAGTTGGTCATAGCTCCACTGATGATACTACATTCTAGTTCATAATTAGTGCAAGGCTTCAACATCCCTGTTCTGTACCATAAAAATAGTGTGTTCTCTCCTCTTACATGTTACTAGCAGTGTGGCTTTGGGAGTCTAGGAAAAGCAGAGAATCTATAGGGAACTATGATACACAGCTAACAACATAGAATTATAGGTGGATTCTCCAAAGAATTCAGCACTGGCATTGCTTTTCCTTCTCCCTCTCTTAAATAGGTGGATAAACAGCTTGGAATCATAGAATCATAGAATTACTGAGGTTGGAAGGGACCTCAAGGATCATCAAGTCCAACCGCAGCCTAACCATAGTACCCTAACTCTAACAACCCTCTGCTAAATTGTATCTTCGAGCACCACATCCAAACGGCTCTTAAACACATCCAGGGACAGTGACTCAACCACCTCCCTGGGGAGCCTATTCCAATGTTTAACCACCCTTTCTGTAAAGAAGTGTTTCCTAACATCCAACCTAAACTTACCTTGGTGCAATTTGAGGCCATTTCCCCTCGTCTTGTCACCTGTCACCAATGAGAAGAAACCTACCCCGCTCTCACTGTAAGCACCTTTCAGGTACTGGAAGTGAGTAATAAGGTCTCCCCTCAGCCGTCTTTTCCCCAGACTAAACAGCCTCAGCTCCCTCAGCCTCTCCTCATAGGGCTGATTTTCCAAGCCCTTCACTAGCCTCGTTGCCCTTCTCTGGTCCTGCTCCAGTACCTCCACGTCCTTTCTGTACTGAGGTGCCCAAAACTGAACACAGTACTTGAGGTGAGGCCTCACCAATGCTGAGTAAAGAGGCAGGATGACTTCCCTAGTCCTGCTCACCACACCATTCTTGATACAAGCCAGGATGCCATTGGCCTTCTTGGTCACCAGGGCACATTGCTGGCTCATGTTCAGCCGACTGTCCATCAGAACACCAAGGTCCCTTTCCATCAGGCAGCTTTCCAGCCACACCTCCCCAAGCCTGTAGGGTTGCCTGGGGTTGTTGTGACCAAAATGCAGGACCCGACACTTGGCCCTATTGAAACTCATGCCGTTAACCTTGGCCCATCAATTCAGTCTGTCCAGGTCCCTCTGCAGCGCCCTTCTCCCCTCTGGCAGATTAACACTCCCTCCCAGCTTGGTGGGTCTGTAGAGTTCAAAACTGCCAGGCTTTCAGGAATAGATTATGGGTAAGAACAGTGGGATTTATTTTGTGGCCTATCACCATCTCATCTTTGATCACATAGCAATTAATATGGAACAGCAACACTGAAACAGCATGGTTATCCCATTGTGTCATTAATTGGCAGAACAAAATCTACTCGTGAGCCTTTGTTGCATATTTTAAAGCCCTAACAAATTTGGTTTTAAATGCATGGTCAGCCCTGCTGTTCAGAAATGAAGAGCTCAGCTTTGATTATACCTCCCTTTTCCTTTAATCTGTCAGCGTTTGTTTCATTTTAGCACAAACTCCTTGAAACTAGAGAACAGAGCAGGCTGGAATTTGCTTCTTTCTCAGAGGAGTGACCTAACTCTTCTCTGTGCACTTTCTGTTCAGGTTCTGTATTTTCTAGCTTGATTACTCAGTAATTTCTTCTTTCTGGATAAAGGAGTTGTTCTAGATTTTCTGAGCACAGGGCGATGCACAGCAGTCTTCACGATGGCTTTTGCTGGCAGGGAGCAAAAAAAACCCAGAAGTGTTTCACTTGCTTCATAGCAGCTGCCTTAGAACCATTTTAGGAAAGAGGATGAACTTTGCATGAAAAGGGTCAGATTTCTTTCTGCTTCTAACGTTAGAGGCAGCAAAAACAGAGTCACCAATGAAATCTAAGAATTATTAAGGCAAGCTTTACCTTCCCAATCTTAGCTAAAAGAACAGGACTGTACCACATCAGCAATACCATGTGAAGTAGGAATGTTGACATCACCCCAGAGCCTAGAATAGCAATCCCATGAGGGGTGGGTAGATGGAGAGAGCCACTGAGTTAGTAAGCGTACATTCAGCATTTAGCTTGAATGTTGGAACAGGGAAATTATAAATGGCCTTAAGTAGCAGAGAGGTTTTACCATTTATCTAATATATATAAATATCTCTCCCAGGGGAGGGAAAACTCCCAAGTGCAGACTAGACAGCACATCCTGACTCCAAGGCATGTGCCCCATTCAAGTCCTTCAAAAACTGGACTGTCAGCATTTTGTGTGAGTTTTGTACAAACTACAGTTGCTGAATTCATGATCTAGACAAGAAGATGCCATATTACCTTTGTTTTTCCAACTAGGATTCTTTGTCCTTTGCGAGCATTTCCTGAAGCATTTCCAAAAAAAAAGTGAAAGATTTCTTGCCTTTTCCCCTAAAGACTGAACCAGTCAGATGGCAGAAAAAGAAGGCAATAAAATATCTCATCCAAAGTCTCTGAGCAGTTTATAGCAGAATTCAGATCTCCCTGCTCCTACAAAACCAAACAAACAGATTATACCACATTTTAAATTGTCTCAGTGTCTACACTGCCTAACTTTATTCTTTCCCAATTTTTCCTGATGGTTTAATTAACAGATTGGCCAAGTATTGATAAAGTTCCTACAGGGTCTCTTAACATCTCATCTTTTCTCTGACTTAATGTATTATCTAAGAAGGCACAGCCATAACCGGCACAAAAGGAACTGCATCATGCTAGATCATTCTTCTCATTGAACCACTGATATAAGTAGTTCACTCCACAAGTAACATCTACTGTTTATTTCC